TTGGACACACCTCACCTTGTAGTTTTTGCTCTATAAAAATCCCTAGAAAAAGCAAGGTCCTTGGCAACCCACTAGGGATGCCTTGTGTCTTACATTCTCAACAGATGCTTTCTTTCCCCAGTAAATATATTCTGTTCTTAAAAAAATACTTTCCACACATTCCCAAAAAGTGGTTTGTGGTTAGCTAATAACAATTTCTATAATTTATATATTTCTTTAAGAATCACACATTTTTCTTAGTTATATATTAACATGCTTGAAGAGTAATTTATTTAAGAGATGGTTAATTGCTGAAGATAAAAAAGTGTTTTAGGTATAATTTTGTTTTGGTATTGATTTTCTGTTCAGTATTTTGAAGATTAAAATATGGTAATTCATGTTGCTAATTAAGAGAAACTAAACCCAATTAAAATGACATATTTCAGTAATAAAACAAGTTTAATCTGGACTGTTTCCTCTGGAATGTAGTCTTATCTGAGGCATCATCTATTCTACCTTATTGCATTGACTGGATGAACCTTTGAGGAAATTTGGAAATGTTTTTTAAAATTCATCCACATATATGAGTCTATGTCAGGTTCTATTCTTTGCTGACAAGTATGGCATGCCTCAAGAGCATGACTACATAGATTCTTCTGAGAGAAGAGAACTACCTCAAGATTTGCTTTTGAATTTGATGTTTAAATGTGTTTTTATTCCATTATATGCTATTATTACTTTAAATAGTTTTTACTGAAGGGGCATGGAAAATCTCAAATAAACCTACTATTAATAGGATATACAAATCAATAATTGATATTAGCTCAAATATGAAGCATTTTCCCAGAGAGGACAGATAAGGAGCTTGTAGTACTTATTGAATGAGTTGGACAGCTTTGTTTTGCAATATTTGACTTTATTCTCCCCCCTCAAAAAGTAATAAGAACTAAGGAGTAATAAAACCCAAAATGTGTAAATTTTGTTGTAAAAAAGAGAGTGGAAAAAAAGAGCTCTAAAGGATACAACAGCAAGTGTGTTTAGGGGTGTTAAATAGCTGACCATATTAATGTTTTTGGTTGGATCATTGAACACAACTGTTTGCAGTCTCACTGTTTGAATGTCCACTTTGTATGCTTTGATACTGTGATTTCAGCAACTATCTCTAAGATAATAATATGTAATCTATTAACTGGTGATTTCTTACTGGGTTTTTTTTTTTAGTTCTGTATTAACTTGTACCCTTACACCACTTTGTTTTGTTTTGTTTTTTCTCTTTTTCCTTTTAAATAAAATTTAAAAAAATAAAACAGCAAAAAATATAATATCAATTAGGTTAATATGTTGATTAAAAAAAGAATTCTTACCAGAAGATTAGCATCAACAAGTGCCATTAGTATTTTCCCATAATAATGTAATCATAGAACATGATTCATGGGTTTCTTTCAGCCCTTTTAACAGATAAAGAGCTAATATTGGACATCATTCCTAACAGTATCACGAAGATCAAATAGGCAATATTTTATAAATTTTAAGATTTTAGATCAGATTAGAATGCAGCCGAAATGGACTTGCCACTATCCATTTAGTGCCGTGTAAGTATTACACATTTCTGTTCTCTGATTCTGTAAAGCAATTTATTGCATATAACTGCTGATGTGTTATGTCCTTAGTGCCTAGGGAAGTGCCTGTCCATCTGCCACAGAGAAGGGTAACATTTGTCTGTGGAATGAATGAGAACAATGATTCCCTGAGTCTGCAATCCTATTTAAACAGCACTATTATATTCCAGTTGCAGCAAAAGACTAGACAGATATTAAGGGCCACAATTTGGTATTGCAAACAGAAAGCAAGTGCATTTTATGTTTCAAATGAACTCTGAGACATTGGCAACACTGTACACCACAAAGGTGAAAATAAACAATAGTAAGACAATTGCAAAACAACTTCTGGGAGCATGGATAGCCTCTTGCTGAAATCCTGTGATATCATTCAAATGCTGTATTTTGTTGACAACTTCGTGAGTGATAGGGTAGGCAAAGATAGAGAGCATTCCTAGCCAAATAGCCATGTCATGCACTGTAGATTTGGAATGAATGCCAGTAAGATAACATGCTTCTCTCTCTAAAGGGGCAGCTGACCATGTGTGACATCTCTTCTGCTTTATCATTGAGAATGACTAGGTGTGAAGGGGACTAGGTGTGAAGCAATGTTGATGGGCATTGATCTGTTTCAGCAAGGAATTAACTCAGAGTTTCAAGGACTGAGAAATGACTTCAGGCTTTCCTTTTTAAAAGAGATGGTATCTCATTTTCTGAGCTCAGATACAACAAATCCCAAACAAACAGAAATCGAGAAAAGCTGGGTGAAAGCTCAAATAGTTTGGATTAAGTCTGGAGTAGAGTTTTTTTCTTTCTATATTGAGTTTACTAACTGATAATCCTATAATGAAATTTCATGCTTTCCAACTACTGAGAATTAGGGCAAGAATGAGGAATATTAATTTTGAAGATGATTAAAAAATTATCCTTATAGTAATCTTTTTCCAAATCACAGCCCCAAGTAACTATTGTTTAATGGGCAAGGGATTTAGCTCAGTGGCATAAGTGCCTGCCTAGCAGTGCAAGGTCGTGAGTTCAATCCCTGGTACTGCAAATACTATAGCTTACACAGCCTCCAAATTCTAGTTATATAGCACTTTTCAGATGGAAGCATAAAATGTTATTCAAAATGTTAAAAATAATCAATGTGAGAAAAAATCAAACTTTGAATATTTGAGTGAAATATTATTGTTTCCTCTTAGTGATGTGTTTCCAATTTTAGGGACTGTGGGAGAAAGACCAATTGCAAACACACATCTACCAATATTGGCTTCATTTACTTAGAAGATCTAATGATTTTATTTCAGGTTTAATATCTTTGAAGTTACTTGGTAATTTCAAATTTCATTCAGAATACCTCTGTCTTCAAAACCATGTCTAATGGTTTCATTTCTTTTGATTTTTAGAGTGGCAGAGTGAATAAGGTTAATATTTATCTCGAGTACTGCAAAACACCTTCATTAAGACAATTACCGAGAGTGGTTATACATAATGTCTAATGCTTAGACACTCATGATCTCTGTCTCAGTATGTTTACACCATTCATGCTGTTGAACTTAAAGAGTGGGTGACTGAACAAAAGGATTAGTTTGTCCAAAAATTTTAATAGATTCACTCTGGTAGGGTGGGCTGGGAGAGGGGGATGATGAATGATAACCCTAGATTAAAAGAATGTTTAATCTTAAAAAATAAAGTAATTCCACCAACAGTAAAAGCTACTAAAAGCAGATATAATAAAAAAATATTCTGGAGATGTAGAACAACACATCTGAAGACAAACAATATCCAAATAAAAAAATTAATGAGTAGAATATCAGGAGTTAAAATTTGGATATATTTCTGTGACAATCTTTTCTCCAATTTACAAAATAACCACGTTTGTATATCATATTATGTTACATTAAAAGTTCTTAAATGTTTAGGTATTAGGTTTTTTAAAGTTATATACAATTCATCATGTAATATTTTACCATGTACTATAGACATACTGTATTCACTATACTGTATTAAATTTGTGTATATATAAAAGTTTCATAACCACTTATAATTCTGATTAAACTTTCTAAATAAAATGTTGTCTAAATACAAATATTGCTTTTGTATTTAGGCCTGCTGAACAGACCTTTTCAGAAGATGAAGATTTTCTTGAAATAGAAAGTTACAGAGTTTCCTTTTAGAGGCTGCTGTGTGTACCCACCCTTGGTTGTTTCTTTCCTTCATTAATGGAGACAGCAGTGTCTAATATCAGAAATTACTTCAGATGTATTTGAAGTAAGAATGCTCTATCAAAGTCTGGAGGATATAAACAGGCAGGATTTGTTACATTCTTGTACCAACTGCATTTGTTACATTCTTGAAAAATCACAAGTTGACAAATTCATTGCTTAGTTTCTTTTTTCTTTTCTTTTTCGTTCTCCTTCCTTCTTCCCTTCCCTCTCTTCCTTCCTCATTTCCTTTCATCCTTTCTTTCCCACTCTTGCATTTTTCTTTCCTTGAAAGTCAGACATAACTTTGCAGAGCTAAGTTTTAAGCTATTAATGGATCACAATTTGTATTGAAACTTTTTTCTTTTTATCCTTGAAAATAAAACTCATGTGTATTAATGTACTATTATGAGGAATATGAAAATATCAAATGTTACTCTTCAAAATAAAATTCATCTTTACTAATGTGCTTTTACTGAGGAACATGAAATCATCAAATGTTAACAAGAAGGTTCATGCCTGTGAGATCCATCAAGGATGATCGTCATGAAGCAGCCTTATTTCAGAGAGTGAGTGTAAGAGCTATTCACAATGCCAGGGACAAAAAACATCTAAATTGTGCAGTCCTGGGCTGTTAGAGATTTGTTGCTCCATATACTAATTTGTTCAAATAGATAGTAAATACATATTTGTTGTTTATGGTTTTCTGTAGATATTTGCACATTCCTTTCTCCAGGTACTGTTGAAAAAGTTATACGTTATTTTGCTGTTCTCCAAACTTTCTAACTTTCCTGTAGCTTGCTCTGAACTTGTATGGTGGCTTGGTTTCTTAAATTGCAGTTTGCCAAGTTGAACGTACTCTGTGGTTTGCAGTTTCATCTCCAGGAGTCCACGGATAATGCTTAGGAGTGTTATTTGTACAGGGGGATGGTGGTATATTGGCATGTATTTCCCATAGAAATATCTTGGAGATGAAAGCTGCTAGGTTTTTTTCACAGCAGTATTTGAACCTTATGGCATGCCACTTAATGAATGTACCATTCATTCCTCTCAAAACAGAATAAAAAATAAAATAAATATATGAAGATCTGCAGCTTTCATCATGAGAGTACAATTTATAATTAACGAATATTGTTACAGTAAGTTAGAAGTGGTTGAATAATTGTGATGATCATCATTCACATACCACCATGACCCACAGACAAAAACTGAAGGTCCTTTACACTCGCTCTGCACTGGGCTGCAGCCTTGGGGCAGGAACTTTTGCTGTCTGCTAGAGAACCATTCCAGGGAGCTGTGGAAGCTTCCTGGGGAAACAGGAAAAAAAGTTGATAGTCCTGTAGGCAAGGCAGAACTATTCTTGACTGACATGACCGTGGTTCTTAGAGCAACAGGCAGATTCTTGGAACTTCATGGATCCCCATTTGATGATGGTTGTTTATTCTCAACATAGGCCCTGTGAACTTTTTGTAGCCCCTGTCATTTATTTTTTTCAAAAACAGAATTAGCTTGTCTCCTGAGAGCAATCAGACTTTCTTTGTGGATGACCCCAGAAATAGGCTTTGAGTCCTAGAATGGACAAGGTTGATGTTGAGTATAAGGTACCCCAAAGGCAAGTCTCATGGTTTATTAACCACTTGTAGCCCCAATTAGAGAGTTCCTTATGGTGTTTGTTAGGATAGGTAGAGAGACTTATGACAATTGAGTCTCTTTCAAACCTCTCAGCTTAGAAGCCTGGATTCCTCAGAAGCTGGCAATAACCCACAAAGATAACTTGTGAGCGTGTTATTTTTATAGTTTCAGAGATACTGATCTTCTAGAGTGAAGGAAGAGGTTGACTAAATTGAACAGTGTACATAGTCAGCTCTGATATCAAAGAGAGGTATTCAATGATATGGGAATGATCTGTCAGGGAAAAATATCAGTGTTTTTTAGAAGAAACAAGAGCAAAGTTCAAACTTAGCAAAAATAACTCATTGCATTTGGTCTTTTCAATTTTCTCAGCTTTCATTTTGCTCAGAACTAGCAAAGCAAGTGCTACAGCTGTGTGGGGACCACCATGTCACTCTTCCCCATACCCAAGTGTGATTGTGTTTACTTGAGAGCAGTGCAGGCTCTGTAAAGGTAATGTCTCTAAATTGGCTTTCAGTTTAATTGGTGAGTTTGGCCTGAGCTGTTTATATGTCTTCATGAAAGCAGGCAGCTGATGATAGACTAACATTATTTATCATCAACAGCCATGGTTGAGTTTCGGTAAAGGAGCTGTGATACCATGGGATAAGATATGAGATAACATCTCCAGTCTCCAAGGCCTACGTGACTCCATAGGAAAATTCCTTCCCAGAACTGGCTACAAAGCAAGTTACTCATTAAATGCAGCCTAAATCTGGCTGTTTCCATCTCAAAGCAAAAAAGCTTCGTTACCTCTGTCACAAACCTCGCTAGTCTTGCCACTTGTCTAGTATGTCTAGCCACAATCCCCTCACCATTTTCTTCAATGAATAAATAAATACCAAAGTTCTAGGTACTTTGTGGCCTTTGGTTCTTTGTGAACAACTTCTCATCCCAGATCCCTGCTGGACCCCTATTTTGTCTCTTGTTCTTTCCTCCCATCAGGTTCTGTAACTCCACGCAGGAGATTGGAACCCACTGCAGGGATCTCTGACACAGCTGCAATCTCTCCATTGGGTAAGCTCCCTTCCCTCTGCATTATGGTGGGACAGCAGTGACCTCTTAACAGCTCTATCTCTTTGCTCGCATCGCCACTGTGTTCCTTAGCTTGGCAGGTAACTCTTAAAATTTGGCTTTCAACTCCAGGTAGGGGGTAGTTTGCGTGGGGCCCAAGCACCACTGATGAGCCTGTGGGTAGAACTGTGCTCTCAGGTAACTAGTTTCCATCTTAATTCTATATATTTTATTTTGTACATTTGTAAACATTTTTTGAGAAGGGTTCTACCGTCTTCATTGGGCCATTAAAACTGTTTATGAATCAAAAGAAGTTGTGTGTTCTCTCCCTACAGTGAGCCTTCTGCTTAACACTTCTGTGACACTGGATGGTGTGTCTTCTACCCCTTGATGGGGTATAGTCCTTGGTTTCCTTCCTCCCTTCATTCCTTCCTTTGTTCCTCCTCCTTTCTTCCTTTCCTCTCTTGCTTCTTACTGCTTTCTTGAAATATTGGGAATCTATCCCAGGGCTATTCCACCGAGCCATCTCCTCACTCCATTTTCATTTTTTGTTTAGACAGAATTTCATTATGTTGCTAAAATTGCCAGAGATGGTTTTCACATTGCAACCCTCTTTTCTCAGTTCCCGGCATTCTGGGATCACAGTCATGTACCACCACACCCAACTTTTTACTTTCTTGAGTGCAGGTTTATAGTAGATAACATCCTTGCACCCTCTAATGGGATTCTTAAATGCCTTCAAAACACTTGCTCCTGTATCTCGCTTTTAGTTCATTTTTACCAGTTGTTTTCATGTTCCTGTTTTCAACAATCATGTGAACTCATTGTATCCCGGGTCATATCTCATTCATCTTTGTATCTGAGCCGATGTTTGGAGTCATGTCCCATACAGGTTGATGAGTATTTGAATGATGAACTTTTGTGGGAATGCAGAAGTCTGATTCTTCTGGTAGGCCTGCTGTGGTGAACTCCAACCTGGGCTGATCTGTGCTTCTGGGTCCCCCAAGGATCCCAGCAGGTCGAAGTCAGAGATGAGATAGACAAAAATAAATGGCATGTGTGAAGAAAAAGAAAAAAAAAAGGGAAAATATAAGGAGGAAAGAAAGATGAAAAACAGAGAGAGGATAACATTGGATACTGTGGTACCCTGCTCCCTACCTCGGGGGAGTGAGTTTGCTGCTCCACCAGTTCACACAGAGATGATTCTGATTTGGAGACCTTTCCTCTGTGTTCACGTTTGTGCGAATGTCATACATTTTTCAAGAATTCTTTTAAAACACTGTGGGGTTGTAGCAATCTCCATGGAATGACAGTTAAAAAAATGAGACATTTCCTTTTATATTTGAGAAGAATTCACCATAAATGTATGGTGTGATGAGGTCCATACTGTCCTCTTCCTCTCTGCATGTGATGTATTCAAGTATTCCATTATAGAGGGAATGTGAAATCTATTGCTAGCTAGGTCCGGGAGAGTCTTACCTACCAGCAGAAGTGCTATTTTGATATAACATGGACATAGACGAAAAGCTAGTCTTGTCCCCTAAATATCAAAAAGTTTTATCTTTAGTCTGATATTATGCCAATCATCAAATATATGATTGATGAGTTACATAAAGTCTTGCTGGCACCTGCTAATACATGAGTATACTTGTAAGAAGAAACATAGTGAGGTTTTATTGGCCCCTCTCATTACGCCTTCTGATGCCTGGTCCTGCTCAGGCTTCTCCTATGCCAGAGTCAGCTTTTGGCAGAAGTTCTGGGGAGAAAGGGAGGGACACTAGTGAGGAACTCTAGAGAACCAGTTGATACTATGTATTATCTTCAGTGTGTGTGTGTGTGTGTGTGTGTGTGTGTGTGTGTGTATGAGTTGTTTAGTTTCCTGCATAAAGTATGGAAAAATGTAGAGATCTGTTATTTTTGAACAGAACAGTGTTTCTTTTTCAGTTAGCAAAAATAACTGGTTCAATGAATTATGTGAAGGACATGACATTCTCCTTTTTATGTGACAGGCATAGGTGATAGGGAGTTTCTTGTGCATTTTAAAAGGTCTTTATGTCTGTATTATTTTACTAATTTTAGTTGCCATGTAAAAATGTTATATTCTTATGAAGATATTATGTGATATTTTTGTAAGTATATACATTGCGTGATGTTCAAATCGGGTAGACATATTGATTACTTCAGATATTTATCATTTTTATTGGAAAAAACATTGAAAACCTTTCCTCTAGCATTTTTTGAATTTACAGCACATTGTCATTATCTCTAATCACCATAATCTGTGATAGAATACCAAAAGGTTCTATCAACCAACTAGTTGATTGTATCTACCAACTACAGGTTCTACCTGTAACTTAGTTGATCACATAGAAGTTGAAACTAGTATAATGGTTATCAGACACTGCGGAGACCAAGGGGAAGGGGTTGATCTGGTTTGAAAAAGGAAATGGTTGCTAGTTGTCAATCAGAAAAGGATGTTTCTATGAACTCTGGATTAAGTGTAAAACAGTTTGGGTTTGAGTCTTCAGCACAGTGTTTCCGTATAAGTGCAAACAACAGACTTTGGTGTGGATATGCAAGCAACCTGTGACATTTTCCCAATTACACTCTCTCAACCCTCCTGTCTGGAAATGTCCCTTATAACCAGATGTTTTTGTTCATGTTCTCAAGTCTTCCTGCTCCACAAATCTCAACAGACAATGATGAACTCACTGGTGACTGTTGTAGGTTATCAGTGTATCAGTGCATTTCAGTCTTGGGGCAGGGTTTCTCTTCTGCATCTATCTTCTGGTTTCTCAAACATAGCATTATTGGTATTTGTGGCTGCATAGTTCTTGGTTGTGAGGGCTTTTGAGCACTGTAGGATGTTTTAGCTGTGTTCTTGATTCCCACTCTCTAGATGCCAGTAGCATCCTCCCCAGTTGACAGCCAAAAATGTCTCTAGATCTTGACAAATACCTTTTGGGCTGGAGGAAGGCAGAATCATAATCAACTGAGAATTATTGCCCTATTTCTTTCATGACAGATTTACTTAAGATGATCCATCTTCTTCTGTGTTTGCTGATAAGGTATTCATTGTCCACTCATTTAACAGAAATGTATCGCACAGTTACTGTACATATACATCTCAACAAATGCTGATCTAGCTCTGTGTTAGGTGCTACAATATATCTCAGCACTTTCAAATATTTTTATTGGCCAAATTTTAGGAATTTTATTGATTAGTTTAGCCATTAAAATAAACATGCCCATTGTTCTGGAATCTCAAAGGATGTGAGGTTATAAAGGGACTGGAAAGTACACTCAAACTCCAGTGCCTGATCAGAGAGGTTTAGACCCCAAATCCAAGATATCAGCACTGTAATAAAAACTTAAATTCTGAGTTATCTGCCCTGACACTTGCTTCTGAAATGCTTAGAGATTAGCAACATGTTACTGCTTTCCGCTGGTGCTTTGCTGGTAGGCTCTAAGCCCATATGCAGAATGATTATGAATTTTTGTAATGAACCAAACCAGCTGAGACTTCATGGGTGGACTGTTTCGAAGTGTGGTTGGATCCATTACCAGGGTGTTTAAATAGTCTAAGCCCTGGAATATGACACTAAAAATCAGCAGGCCCAGGAAGAACACATTCTT